CAGGGACAATGCCTCACGAGCATAGGCAGCCAGCTGGTCGGCTACTTGATTGAGGATTAAAAGAGCGCCGCTCCCCCGTCAGCCCTGGCGCCGGTCACAACAGCTTCCCCGTCGCCAGATGAGTCGCCAAGGTCATCAGGCACCGCTGCTGCTCGAAGGGACGACGTAAGGGCCCGCATTTGAAAGTCGGGTCAGGAACTCGCCTTTGCTTGCCACATGGTCTGGGTAATTGCCGAAATCTTCGACAGCGTCTGGCAGACTGGGCACCGAAGGGGCTGCGAGCCCCCCAGTAGACCGGCTTACGCACAATGACGTCTGTCCAGACGAATCGCCCGGCCAAACGTAACAATACCCTATACTCACAGAGTGGCACACGATTTACAAAACGTGGCCTGTCTTGTGGATAGCAAGTCAGCGTTTGTCTGTGTTTTTTTCTTTCGTCCTCGTCCCGTGTGTGCTGTTAATTTTAGATGAACCTATACCAACTTTTATTTATTTATTTATTTGATACTGTATACCCCCTGCTTGGAGTCATTACAGGGAGGGTGTCACAAAGTACATTACATTCGCACAAAAAAGAAAAATGCAAAAGCACATATAAATACGACATGAATAACCAGCAGAAAAATGAGAAACAAACAACAGTGACTATACACTTAAAAATCAACGAACAAATGCTTGCAACAGAATTTAGCGCACATCACTACAAAGAAAACCGTCTAATGCGTTTTCGAAATTCACTGACGTTGTTTGTTGCACAACCACGTTGGGTAAACTATTCCACATTTCTGTTGTGTCTGGGAAAAAGGAGTGGCGGAAAGCATTCGTGCATGTGAAATAACGTTGAATCACTCTACTATTATTAAGATGAACACGTCGCCTTCCAAGGAGCTGAAGATATAAATTCTTATTTATTTTTGTTTGCCCACCTATAGTCTTCAAAAAAAAATTTGAAGCGATGTTTGCGCCTGCGATATTCCAAAGACTTAAGATCACAGACCTTTAATAATGCTGTGACTGAGTGTGCACGACAGTATCCACTGCATATGCAACTGACTGCTAATTCTTGTATTCTTTCAATTTTTGTCCTCAACACCTTTTGGTGAAGCGACCACTCAATACTCGCGTACTCTAAGACAGGACACATGAATGTTTTTTAAGCAGTTAGTTTTAAATTCGGTGTGGCATGTTCCAATTTTTTCTTTAGGAAATAGTTTTTTTTGTTTGCCTTGGAACAGGCGTTATCTATATGCGAGTGGCATTTGAATGTGTGCTTAATACTAACTCCTAGGTATTTGAAACAAGCAGCATTATTTAAAGGGTGACTTCCGATGTAATACATGAATGACAATTCCTGCCCACTAGAGTGGATATGTGTAAATGTCGTCTTGCTATAGTTTATTTCCATGTCCCATATTATACACCACTGATCTAATGCCTTTAAGCGCCTGTTCAGATTAATTTGGTCACCTTCGCAATTAACTGGGGAATAAATCAAGCAGTCATCTGCAAAAAGTTTCATTTTAGTTAGGAGCCTCAATTATTGAACATAGATCAATAACAAATATCTGAAAAAGAATTGGTCCTGAAACAGATCCTTGGGGAACGCTCGAGTACACGGTCAGTGGTCTTGAAGTGTAATTTTCAGTTTTTACAGCCTGTTGACGTGCAGATAAATAGGCCTTTATCCATTTAATACTTCTTCGCTTATAACTAATCTTTCTAGCTTGAAAAGTAATTTACGATGAGAGACCTTGTCAAAGGCTTTCCTAAAATAGACACAAATACATCAGTCTGCAGAAGGGCATTGCTGTTATTATTGAAATCATGGAGCGTTTCAACTAATTGTGTCACAGTAGAAAGACCATGCCAAAACCCATGTTGGCTTGCACAAAGTAACTGGTTAGAATCAAGAAAACTAAGAATATGTTTTGCTATTACATGTTCCAGAACTTTACAGCAAACAAATGCCAAGGATCTTCATCACTATGGCTTTTATTAAAGAACATTCGAATTGTGGAGGCCTCATTCACAATGTAGGCGACATCAAAAACATCAATACGTTCTCTCCTGTCGCATTCTGTCTCCAGGAAACTAATCTGGGTCTAATAACACAAACTTCCAGAGAGGTGTAAACATTTTTTGACTGTCGGGAGGAGTCAGCATCATTGTAAAAGGCGGCATTCCCACTCGAGACATCACAAACACCTCCCTCAAGGCTGTAGCAGTTAACATTATGGGGCACAAAACCATCTCTATCTGCTCTGTTTGCATGGCCCCTCATGAAACATTCAAACAAGAACTTGAGGACTTAACGGCGCAACTACCAGAACTATTTGTTTTAGCAGTGGATTTTAATGCCCATGGTACACACTGGGGCAGTGACAAAATAGACCGAAGAGGACAACTAATTTAGGATTTCATTCTGTCGAACATCTGTCCTTTGAACTCTAGTGCACCAACATACTTTTCATCAGGTTCACGCAAGTTCAGTTGCCTCGATTTAGCATTTGTCGCCATGCATTTGTAATGACTTTAAGTAGGAAGTTCTGGAATCTTCGTACGACAGCGATCATTTACCGGCAATCGTCAAATTACCACACACATTCCTCAGAATCGCCTCCAAACCACGCTGCTGGCTAATCCATCTTGTAGACTGACCCTTGATTCAGGAGAATGGAAAACTAGCACACATTCTTTTGCAAAAAATTAGCATCAGTGACATGAACGACAAAATAACTGAGGTCATAATAGCAGCCTCATCTTAATAGATAAAAAAGAAGATGACAAGGACTTGAAGAATTATAGGCCGATGAGCTTGCTCGCAGTTGTATGCGAGATATTTAAAAGGTAATTGCTAACAGAATTAAGACATTAGGATTCAATCAACCAAAAGATTATGTCCACTTAGAACAGGAAGATTATGTCCACTTAGGACAGGTAATAACCGCAGAGCCGAACCACGAGATTGAAGTAACTAAAAGAATCTAAATTGAAGTAACTAAAAGGTCTCAGCTCGGGTTGTGCCGGGACCCCTAGTACGCAGCACCGAGGCTACAATCTCCTCTTCGAAAGAGGGTCAGCTCGGGTTGTGCCGGAAACCCTGGGACGCGGCACCGAGGCCACGATACGGCTCCGGAAGAGGGTTAGCTCGGGTCGTGCCGGGACCCCTGGAACGCGGCACCGAGGCCATGATCTCGGCTCCGGACCACACGCTTGAGCCCCACAAGAACAGCTGCTAGGCCGGCCCGTAACGCGCGACCGTTCTTGGAACACATCAAGCTCTTCCCGGCTGGTCTGGTCGCACCAGCTTAATCCCTGTAGACTGTCGGACCGAACGTCCGATGCTCTGGTTGGCTGGCCACTTTTTCCCAGCCTGGCGACATTCGCCAGCTTGCGAGATTCACAAGTATCTCTCTCGCGCACATTGTCGTCTTCTTTTCAGATTGGCTCTTTTGGTTGTGGGAAATAGTCTCTTACCACACCATTCTTACAAGCCCAGACATGCAGACAACAATACAAGAACAAGCGAATATACCAGGGGAGCATTTCTACATTTCTAGCTCTGCCAACTACTCTGATATGTTCTTGAAACAGTCTGCAGAAAAACAAACTGCCTCTCGCAGGTGCATCGCATAAAGCCTATAATAACCCTCTTACATTACAGCGCATCCACTATTCCATGCTAGCGCATCTTTCTGCAGCATTACATTCAACATATGGTGATTCGGTACAATTTTAAAACTGTGAGAAAGTGCTATAGTGGTTCCAATTCTAAAAGCAGGTAAGACCCCTACCTCTTCTTGCAGCTACAGACCGATCGCTCTCACCAGCTGTCTGGCAAAATTGTATGAAAGCATTATAAACTCTCGGCTGTCTTTTATCCTTCATTCAAGAGACTTGATAGGTAATCATCAAGGCGGCTATAAGAAAGGCTGTTCATCCATTGACCATCTCGTTCGACGGGAGCATGAAATTCAAGAAACATTTCGATGCAAGCAGTACTGTCTCACTGTTTTCTTAGACTTAGAGAAAGCTTATGACACCACAATGAGATACGAAAGTCTGCAAGACCTCGCCAATTTACTAATACATTAGGCATTCGTGGTCAAATGCTAAGCTGCCTATAGGACTTCATGTCTGACAGAACATTTCAGGTGCGTTTGGGCACAGTTCTTGCGCGCACGTTGCTCTAGAAAAATGGCGTACCACAGGGCTGTGTTCTTAGCACAATATTGTTCAAAGTAAATATGAATTCCATTAATAAGGTCATACCACACACAATTATGCACTCGGCAGTGAAAACTGTCCGTAATAGGTGTGATGTGTTGTTAGAATGGAGTTCTTCGATCACTGAAATATGTGTGGGAACATTCATGTTTCGGGATTTAGTGCTTGTGGAATTACACAGCACTGCACATAAGTTTTTCAGTCACTGTTGAATCACTATTGCCTGCACAGTACGAGAGTGATTTGAACTAATGTAACTATGTATAAACTTCGTTGAATAAGCTTATAATAATATCAGGTTTAATATCCCAAAACCATCATAAAGTTAGGAAAGATGCCATGATAGAGGGCTCTGGAAATTTCGATCACCAGGAGTTCATTAACGTGCACCTAAATATAAGCACACGAGCCTCAAGCATCTTCCCCTCCATTGAAAATGCGGTCAGAATTAGGTCATGCTACCTGTGTGTCAACGGCCAAGTGTCACTAGACTGCCGGGGTGGGGCATGTTTGATAAGCTCACAACTATGTTGATTTGAGTAGCGCTGTTGAATGCTTGTTCATCAGAATGCTCTAGTTCATTTAAATATTTGAATCGCTCTTAGAAACCTTCTATTCTATGTTATATTCAACTGTCTCTAGCTCCTGCTAAAGTTTTTTTTTACCTTTCTTTATTGGCAGTAAAATGCTCAACCAACGTTTTTTGACCGACCCATAGGAAATATGTTCAATGGGTGCTGTGTATTGATTCTATGACTACCTGTTTTCAGCACATGGGTTCTAAGGAGGACATAGCCACCAAGATTGAGGCTGAGACCCGCCAGAAGATGAACGAGATGAACCAGCTGGTGGCACAACACAAGAAGGCTGTCATTGAGAAACTGCTGAGTTTGGTGTATGATATCGACCCACAAGTGCACCGCAACTATAGACCTCCTGCTGCCCAATGAGGAGAGCGGCCTTCCTCTTTCATGCGAAGGTTTTGCCAAATTCCTGGCTCAAGCTTTCCTTCCTCACGGGGTCAGTTGTTGTGTATGCAGTAAATAAAACATTTCTTGTCACTTCCTGTGAACTTCGAACTTTTCATGTTTTGCACTCTTGTGCCATTTTTGTAATATCAACATAAATTGTGCCATACTGCGCCAGTCGGATTTGGCAGCGTCCATCACTGGCAATAGCCACGCTGGCATGTCAGAACATGTGCACCTTATTCTTGGGGCCATCAAAGCTATTGTCACGTAACTAGAATTATTCCACGGAATAAAAAACGGTCGTGCGTGCGTCATAAGTAATGCACAATGCTACGTTTGGTGTCAACGCAACTTCCTTGTGCAAGTCTGCTTAAAAGCCAACTCCGGCGATTTTTCAAGGTCAGTGGATCTCAATGAAATTCACCGGGTACGTTCATTTGCACGTTTGTGTCATTCATGCCGAATTGCAGGCTTGGGAGTTTCGCAGGTTCTTTTTAAATGAATTTTATAGCTTTCCTCGAAATGCTTACCTCCCTTGCCACAATCAATGGCAACATTGTGTGTGTGTGACTGAGTTTTGCCTAACAGAAGTGATAAACCGATGTGCCACTGCAGCGTCTGCTTGTCTGCTATGGATTGCCTGGGTTTTACTGGCTCTTCCTTGGTTGAGCGTGCGATTTTTTTGTCCGTGTTGGTGGGCGTGCGATAGGTGCTAAGTGGTGTTGCGTTGTGAGCCACACACAATTCGCCATATATTCATAACAGCCTAAGCGTTTTCTAAAAGCTGGTCACCGCTGGCGGCGTGTACAGCTAGTGCCATCTAGCGAGCATTATGTGCAATCGGGCAGGTTCCGGCAGCATCAAGCAAGTCTTTTACGTCACACATAAAAGTGCACTCGGTGAGATTTCGGTTTTAATATTGCGATTTTTCAGTAATCAAAAACTATTTTCGAATTTTTGAAAATTTTCAGTTATCAGGCGTGTAAGAAAGAAGAGTGTCTAAGGGACATAAAACCACCACTATGCTGACATGGCCAAAAAATCGCCATAGTTCCCTTTTAACAGCGAAACGCGCTATTTGCAGGGGCTCGTGACGTATAGTCCAATCGGTAGCGTGAAAGTGTAGCGGCGATTCATCGTCGCACGTCTTTCATTCTAGGAACACTGCTCGTTCGAAGGGTTCAGTGGCACGTAATAAAGCAATTTTCACTAATAGCTGCACGTACACTGTCATGTCTTTATCTAGACATCGCAATCTAATTTTCTATACTTTGTGTCCACAGAACACGTGAACAGTGCATGGGAACGCATTGGCGCTTCTCCTTTATTATACTTATTCATGGACCATCATTCGGAAGAGCTTTTTTTACCAGCACATCCGCATTTGTAATTTCTGTTGCAGTAACAGCCCCCAAAAGACCTTGCCATTTCAAAGTCAGGATTGCTAGGGCCTAAAATCAAAATTTTTGCACGCTTTCTTCTAAAATGCCATCTCATTAATAAAAGCATGCTTTCTTGTCAAAGCAGCTGCGTTAGGTTTTAATACATGCAGTTTCTGTAGTGCGGTCATTGCTGGCGGTTCTGGTGTCTGAAGCCCTGCTGTTTACGCCTATTAGACGCTTGCTCCTTGCTATCCAGGGTCAAGAGCTGACTGCTCAAAAAAAAGAATACGCTTGCGCGTTCCCACGCGGGCTACTCGAATAAATGGGCTGCAAAGTGTGTGTGTGTGGGGGGGGGGGGTATCGGGTAAATGTTGTGTATTTTGTATGGCTTGGGAATGCTTGATTGTTATTTCATCTTAATATTCCTATTTATTGAATGAAGAGGCATTGCCTTCAATGTGAAGCGAAAGCCAAGATGCTCTTGACTGACTTTCTAATTTGCGAACCAGTACCTACATATACGAGTTGGTCAGTGAATGGTTGTGTAGCGCGAGCAGTCTTTCTTTTTTTACTAGCTCATGCACCCTGCCTCGGCCTTGCGAGGGGAGAAATGGGAAGGGGAACGGAAGTTTTGCGGGTGTCTTCCTGGGTCAGCACGAGATGTGATTATGCACAATGGGGGTGTGGACAGCTGGATGGATGGATGGATTGATGTGGCTGTACCCTTTAGATCTGGTGGTGGCAAACGCCTCCTAGCCGTAATACTTAGTAAACTAACTACTAAATTTATCTTTTTTTCCCTTTAAATAGTAAAGTTGGACGGGTACTTTGCAATGAAGGATTTAATTTTCACTCGTGCCTGACTTTAGCCGCCAATCAGATAACCTCCTTCTAGTTAAGTCTACCCGCTTAAAGTCTATTTTGCCCTCCCTGTCCCTAAACATCATTGCTTTGTAAAACTCTGCGCCATCATCCTGAACTATAGGGTGAAGCCCTTTACAGAACATTATGAAGTATTCGACAGTTTTCCTCCTCCTCTGCGCATGCACTACATACCGTGTCTACCCCTTCGTATTTTGCCCGATATGTCTTGGTTCGCAATACTCCCGTCCTGGCCTCAAACAATAGAGAACTACCCCGAGTATTATCATAGATCCTTTCCTTGGCAATTTCCTGCTTAAAAGTTCGATAGATCTGTAGTACAGACTTCTTAATCATGCCAATTCTCCACTTATCAGTCTCCGTTTCCTTCACCTTCTTCTTAACTGATAGTTCTTTGTGGTTTGGCCCCCTGCTGTTTTCTAAGCACTTACTCGTCAATTTTCTGGTTCGCTTCCTCCATTTTGTATTGGCATTCTTAATGTACAAGTAGCTGAATACCTTCCCAGCCCAACGCTCCTCCCCCATTTCTCTCAATCGCTTCTCAAATTTTATCTTGCTGCTAGCTTCCCTGCCTTCAAATGATGTTCATCCCATATCACCTTGTACTCCCTGATTTGGTGTATTCCCGTGAGCTCCTAAAGCAAGCCTACCTATTCCACGTTGCTTAATTTTTAATCTTGCTTGAACTTCTGATCTCATGCACAAGACCGCATTGCCGAACGTCAGCCCAGGAACCATGACCCCTTTCCATATTCCTCTCACAACATCATACCTATTGTAATTCCACAGTGCCCTAATTTTCATGACTGCTGCATTCCTGTTACCTTTAGTCGTCACATATATTTCGTGTTCCCTCAGGTACTCGGTCTCATTGCTTATCCATACGCCCAGATATTTGTATTTATCTGTTATCTCTAGCGCGACTTCCTGTATTCTAAGCTCACTACCTTCGTTGTCATTGAAAATCATGACTGCTGATTTTTCCTTACTGAATCTAAAATCTAACCTATCTCCCTCAATACCGCAGATGTCTATCAATCTCTGCAAATCTTTCTTGTTGTTGGCCATTATCACTATATCATCTGCATACATCAATCCTGGTTGTGCCTGTTCAATGATTTTTTCTTGTTTGACGAAAGAGGTTGAAGCCAAGTCCACTTCCCTCTAATTTGGTCTCTAATCCTTGTAGGAACATTACGAATAACAAGGGTGACAGAGGACACCCCTGCCTAAGCCCCCGTTTTACGTCTGCGGGCTTGGATACCTGTTTTTCCCACTTTATAACTACGTTGTTACTTTAATCGATATCCTTTAAAAGATTAGTGACTGCATTTTCCACACCTAGTGTGTGCAGTATTTCCCACATGTCCTCTTGAACCCCGCTATAGTACACTCCCTTGTTATCCAAAAATGCTAGCCACAGGGGCCTGTGTTCCTTTTCTGCTGTTTGGATGCACTGCGTCGGTGAGAACAGATTGTCTTCCAACCTCTTGTGTTTCCGAAACCCATTTGCAGTTCTCCCAGCACCCCCTCATTTTCTATCCATGCCTGCAGTCTTTCCTTTATAATCTGCATCGCCAGCCTCTAGACCACTGATGTCAATGTTATGGGATGATACTTGTTTGTCAGCTTTGTCCCCCTTTCCTTTATAGACCATGCTCATTCTGCTCAGTTTCCATTCGTAAGGGACTTCACCATCGATTATTTTGTTCGCTGCGTCTCTCAAGATCTGCTTGGACTTCGGACGCAATGTCTTTGTCAGCATAATTGGAATGCCATCTGGGCTTGTTGATGTACTATTAGGAATCCTCTTCTCAGCCCTTTCCCACTCTCGTGAAAATGGAGCCATTGCGCCACTTGATTCATTTTTGTCTATTGTGATGCATAAGGCACTTCTTTGTTGAAATTTTTCTGTCACCCTTGTTCTTATGTAATCAATGGCTTCGTCCTCTTGAAGCCTAGCACCTTGAGCTGTAGTTATAAACCTCTGTTCTAGGCTTGTCTCATTTCTTAGGGAGTTTAGATGGTTCCAAAGTTTCGCAGCTGCCTTTTATCCTTTTTATATACTTTGGCCAGCCAGTGAGCCCCTTTTCTTCTAATCTTTTCATTGATCAGAAGGGATGCTTCCGTTCTACAGCTTAGAAAGATGTCCCGTTTTTGTTCAACATCATCTGTCGGTTCACCCCGCTGCTTATCATCTCTGTGTTCCCTAGAGGCTTCCTGACGTTTTGCTACGGCTCTCTTAACTTTCTCGTCCCACTAACTCTTGGGCTTGTGTCTTCATTTCTGGGGTGACTTGTCACGTGCCTTAGAAGCTTTAGGTGAAACAGTCCAATTAGATTCTTGTATGTCCACACTGTTTTATTATCCTAAGTGATTACTTTCTCAATTTGTTTAGTAGCTATTTCTATTTGCTTTTCTGAATAAAATTTTTGCTGTAGTTGCGCATCTTGTCTCCTTCCCACTTTCACTGCTCTTCCAAAACTTAGCTTGATACGTTTGTGATCACTACCCAGACTTCTGGAGCCACATTCATATATGTGCATTCCCCTGAGCCTGTCATACATCCTATGAGACATCAGTGCATAATCTATCGTCGACTGAAGCCTTCCTACCTCCCACGTTATTTGCCCTTCACACTTCTCGGTACTGTTGCAAATGATCAAATCATGCCTTTCACACATAGCCATGATCAATTTGCTTGTTGGGTCAGTATACCTATCTATATCTTCTATGTGCGCATTCATATCTCCTAGTATAATTATCTCGCACTCTCCTCTGAATTTAATGTCCTTTGATATACCCTCCACCATTGCCGGGTTTTCCTCTCTGGCCTT